GGGAAAGAGAATTCAGATGCATAAATATGAAGCAAGCTGTGCTACCTGGCCTCAGGGCCAGAGAATAGTCCCCGGTCCCCAGATATATTCAATGACTTAATATCAAATTTGGCTAGTTAACTTTTTTTTTTTTTTTTAATTCTGTAACTGCCTACCCTCCAAAATCATCTTTGACCTGAGAGTCAAATGCATCTTCCCCAAAAACTAAATCCTCAGGTAAAATTGTGACCAGAAACATCTCTGGAGCAGTTTTCTTCATAAATTGACATATATTTACACATTGGAAGCAAAACAAAAGATATTTTTTCAGAAGCAAGCTGAATTTTAGAAGTCATCACGGCCACAGTTAGTTGTCTTCAGAAATTCAAATGAAGACAGAAAATAGGTTTAAATACTTCATTCAAGAAAATATATTTGTTCAATAAACATGTTTAAGTTGCTAACAGCAAATTCATATGCAGCAGCATGTGTAACTCACTCTCAAGTGTACTTGCATAACCCTGCTTTTCTCAGTTGAATTGTGCAAACGTATCTTGAGTATTTGAGTGATGGTAAGGCTTCGTAGGTTGTTATGTGGAGTTGCAATCTGGAGGATTACCCGGGAGACACTGAAGGCATGTTTTGGGTTATAGAATGTATAAATGATGATTTTGCACAATACAGGCGCTTGCTGTTTTCTTAGATACCAATGTTATAAGAAAAAAAACATTTTTTCTTTTAAACCCAGCAGCGAAGCAAGATGACCTTTTTACAGAATAACTTTTAGAGCAGAACCACAATTAAAGCCAAGCATTACCTAGAATCTAAAGAGCTGCTTTACTCTTCCTGAAATCAATAGAGGAATCAATCTTTCTGTTTTTTTTCACGGACGGAGCGAGCGAATGTTACTTTAGAAAGTTCATATAGGAAAGTTTAATATAGGATTACATTTAATATAGGACTACAGTTGAAAACTACAGAACTGGTTCCTTTCCTTTTAGACTGTGCTTTCAGTTCCACTTGTTTGTAACAGGATCCATTTCACTGGATTATCTCAAGTCTGCCTTTTGAGCCAGCCCTCTTGCAGCGGCTTCTGCTTCAATTCCCACCCTCACCTACCACAGCTATTATTTGGATATATTCCGACAAGGAGAGAAGACAATAAGTAACAAGAGATTTCTAATTTTGCATAGTAAATGGCTTTAAAATAGATACCAGAGTTTTAGTAGGGAAAAGTGTGGGCCTTCTTCAGAGTCACAGGCAGGATAAACTGATCTCTACATGATATTTAAATTTTGAGCCTACTCCAAACTGTCATTTCGCATGCCATCGCTAACTGATCTACTAGGACCTGTCTTACAAATTCTGGACCTGATCCTTCATCCATCAAGGTCAATAGAAAGATGCTTATGTATTTCAATGGGCCAAGTCCTTTGTTCACAGTCTTCTTGGGAAGTCTTTGACTCTATTAAAAAAAACAAGTATAATACTGCCTGGCTTAAGTATTTTCTTTATGAAGGCAGATCTTAATCTGCTGGTTATTCACAGGTATTTCTGAAACATACTCACTACCCTAAGTCCAGAGGGCTCGGTCTGCCTTAGGGCATGGGGAACCTGTGGAAGTCTGGATCTTGCCTGTGAAATGCGTGCTCTACTTTGGACCTCCCACTCTACTGGTAGAAAATAATATAGTCTTCGGCACCAAAATAAGACTCACTGCTAGATGTAAATTGGATTACAAGGTTAAATGGATTTTTAACATGCTAAGAGATTTTGAGAGATTTTTTCATATTTATAAAAAAATCTGAAAAATGAAGGGTCTTATTTACGTACACACATACATGTATGAAAACCTGCATATCCTCCAGAAGCACACATATATACGCTGTAGAGGTATGAACAGTACAGCCATCAGGACTAAATGAATTTAAATCAGCCACAAAAGTAAGTATCTTTTTTGTTTTATTTCCAAAAATCCTCTACAAATATTACATTACTGTGAAACCTTGTATTATCTTATATGAAAACCAGTCTGTAATGAGAAAATATAGTCACAAGCAGAGAGTACTAAAAAGCTCAGGCCCAAGATCAAATTTATCTTACAATTCCACTGGTTAGAGGCTCTCTGAAAAGAGCTTTGGTTTACTGTGACTTACCAGCTCTAATAGATATTGACACTCCTTTCCCATCCCTTTACTTAATAATCTCTGAGTGAGATCCGGGGTCTGTGGCACAAATCACTGATGATAAGTTGAACTTTAACATCCTACCTGGGGCTAGAGGACCCTTGGGGTCTGGATTAGACTGGGTTGCAGGTTGGGGATTGCATATGTTTTTTTAAGCATAAAGAGATTGGATTATCTATATCTCACTTGGGTGCGTCACACAAATTTCTAACTGTGCTGGCAAGCAGATAATGTAAGTTAGAAAGATACCATTTCCTTTCACTAGGTTGAAAGTCTGTATCATAGTCAAACTATGGGAAGGAAGTAACAGATGTCAGTGAACACAGAAGCTGTGCAAAACTGAAATTAGTTTGTCGTGATAACTTTCACGTCAGTGTTTTTATAATGTGTTCCAAAGTAAATTCATTAGCATAGTGTTTTGTTGTTGATGTTGTTTTAATGAAGGAAAGGATTGGGGAACAGAGTTGGTAGCACCAGACAAAGGTTATCTTGCTTAGGGTTTCTTCCTCCTTCACTCACCCCTTTAGAAGTGAGATCCGTACCATCTCTCAGTCCCCATGTTAAGGCTTGTAATCTTGCCTTTGAGGACTAGAGAAAAATGTAAACATCCACTTAAAGTAAGCATCAAGAATCAGTAGTGCTACCATATTGCAAGGTCTGAGCCAAGACCACTGAGGACTCCCCCAGGTTATTGCATAGGGCAGCCCTGACCAAATTCATTTGCCTCACTCTCTGTCCCTCATGACCACTAACTCAGGCTGCTGATGCAGGAAGCCATCGGAGTCGTCTCCTTCACTGAGTACCATACCGCACCAGATGGCAGATCGCCTTGACTTCCATCACCCATCATCCTCCCAGTCCCTGAATGATCGTGACCTTCCCACATCCCCTCTTACCATAGTGTTTCCAGTGGTCTTTCCTTCCTTTTCCGATCAGCGACGGCAGGCTTTGGTGCTACTGTCTTTGCTGGAGCACAAGTCTGAGCTAGAGGGCAGGAGGCAGCCTGGGCCAAGCAGCAGGCACCTGCTGCTGCTCTTCAGTGTCACAATGCAGTGAGGAGTAGGTCACAGGCTGCCCAACTCTGCCTATTGCATCACTACCTCCTGCCCTCCCAGCCACCCCACGTGTGCAAATTCATCCATACAGGCAGCACTAAGATAGACCCTAAATTTCGCATTCCGTTCCCTCTGGTTCTTCATGCTTATTAAATTTTAGTGTGGCCATATAACATCCCATACACTCTACGTTCTGACACCTGAGCTCTATACCTATATATCAGAAGAGGCATACAATCCTAATTCCCTGTTCTGCCAGCACATACACATGTAGACTAGAATCATTCCTAAATTCCATTACAGAAGACCAGGAGGGCATGAGAGAACAAATGAATGGGAAGGAGGAAGATAGAAGGAAAAGCAAAAATAGGGAATTGAAATGTAAATGTAGTTACCATTTTGAAGTGTGCTATATCAGAGTGGTCTTAAACGCTGGCCTGACCCCTTCGTCCTTACTTTAGCTACCTCTCTGTTAATGTTTCAAATTAATTCTATTGCTTATCTTTCCATGTACAGTCATCAGGGCTGTCAGCAGAATGGAGCAGCATTCAGTATAGAGCCTAACTCCTCTGTCCAAGCACAGAAAGAAATTTGCTTCCCATTGCAACGGCTGCTGCAGGAAATAGCTGGAGGCATCACACATACTTTCTTATACCAAATTAAGGCAATTGTCTCCACCATTTTGTTGTTTGCTCCTTCAGTACTAGCTCAGCATCAGAAAGAAGAAGCTTCTCTTAGTGAAGCAATACTCATGACTGAAGCTCTTAGGTTACGCAAGCAAAGGCATACTTAACTGCTTGAAACTGAGTATTCTGCATTCCCTGTCTTTATAAACATACTATTTATTATGATGTTTAATCAGGAGAAATGTAAATATACAATTCCTAAATTTTAGGTTAGTTAATCTACTTTGACAAGATAGAATTAACAAATTGTTCTACCCCTGTTGGCAACCAGTATGTAAGCATCCCCTCCTTTAACATCTACATTTTAACAGTGAAATAGTTCATGCTGGCTTTTAACAGCTCACATTTACTTTGGTATGTATGTTCTTTGTTTTGGTGATCTCTACATAAACCTGCAAATCTCTTGTCTCTGATTTTGGTTAGGAAAAGTCCCAAATATTTCTGGAGCCACAAATATTTTTTACAGAGGAAGAATTCGCATGATCATTTCTTTCTGCCGCATTGTTTAAGCCATTTGACTCCCACACTTCTCCAGAATAAAAAAACTAGCAACTTTTACGGCTGAGGAATAGGTTGTTATAATGTTATTCTTACAGTGGAAGCAGTCTGAAGAAATCTAATTTTTGACCTATGTGTCATTGGTTTTTTTTGTTGTTGGTGGTGGTTTTTGTTTGTTTGTGTTTTTGTAAAATCTTTCTTATTCAATATATTCCATTAAGAATAGTGGTATGTCTGATATTTTGGCACAAACTAACTTTCTCTTCAATAATTGTTAGGCTTTCATAAGTGATAGTATGGGATGTAGGATGATATACCAAAAACCGAAAAGGCTAACTTTCCCAGTACTTTAATAGTTCTATTCTAAGTATTCTATCCTTATTCTAAGTATTTTGAGAGTACCTTTTCTGACTTCTAACCTTCCCACTGGCTTAGGACAAGTAAAATGTTTCTATCTGCAAAACAGTATTCTCTTGTAAAAACTTTTCAATTTCTTTCAATATGAATGCAAACCATTGTTGCTAATAGTGACCCTAGGTGGCTCTTGGGTCTTCAAGATCTGCTCAAGGCAATGATTAGAGCCTTCTTTTAGTATGGACTAAACTAGACTTGTCGTTGAGCAATATACAATGAGGATGAACTAGATGTCAGGACAGGCACAGAGTTACTTAGACTGTGTGATGAGGGGGTTGGAACACTACATGGCCCGATCTCTGGCATCAACTGGAGCAATTGCCCTTGGCACATGAGATGCCTTGACACACACACGGCTCCAGAGGAAGGATGCTGCAGTCCAGGTTTTCAGCTGCAGGGAGAGTCTGGTGCCTCCCATGCAGCTGGGGACAATGGTGGCATCACCTGTGGGAGGTGTGGTCTGGTCGGGGTGACCAGGCAAAGGAACTGTAGGAGAGGAGAATAGACTGCATATCAGCAGGGAAAAGGAACAGGAGATCCACAAGGTCTTTGCAGACATCCTGCTGACACAGGTGGCCAAGGCCCATGAGGGAGCTATCGGTGGGAATAGCTCCCATGACGGAGTTATTGGTCCCACTAGGGCCAAGTACTATGTAATGTCTTTATTAACCTGGATGATCAGATGGAGAGCACCCTTAGCAAGTTTGTGGACAATACCAACTTGGCAGGAGCAGGCTATACCCTGGAGGACAGGATTGCTGTTCAGGGGGATCTTGACAGGCTGGAGAAATGGGCTGAGGGAACCTCACAAAGTTCAACATAGGCCAGTGCAGAGTCCTGTGTCTGGGATGCAATAACCCCCTGCAACAGGACAGTCTGGGGACCAACTGGCTAGAAAGCAACTTTGCAGAAGAGGACCTGGGGATCCTAGTGGACAAGTTGACCATAAGGTTGCATGACCTTGCAGCAAAGAAGGGCCAACTACGATGTGAGCTGTATTAACAAAAGTGTAACCAGCAGATCCAGGGAAGTGATCCTTCCTCTCTATTTGGCGCTTGTGAGACCACATCTGGAGCACTGTTTCCAGTTTTGGGCTCTCCAGTGCAAGAAAGACATTGACATACTGGAGTGGCTGAGACACAGGGCCACCAGGATGATTAAGGAGATGGAGCACCTGACATATGAGGAAACACAGAGAATTTGGTTTGGTCAGCCTGGAGAAGAGAAGGCTCAAGGAAGATCTTACTGCTTATCTGCTGCAACTGCCTAATGGGAAGGTACAGAGAAGACAGAGTCAGGCTGTTCTTGAAAGTGCACGGTCATAGGATAAAGAGGCAATGGACACAGGTTGGAACACAGGAAATTCTAGTTAGTAGAAAGATTCACTAGGAAGGTGCTAAAACACTGGAACAGGTGCCTAGAGAGACTGTAGAATTTCCATTCTTGGAGAAGCTCAGAACTTGACTGGACATGGCCCTGAACAACTTGATCTAACTGAACCTGCTTTGAGTAGGAGGTTACACTAGATGACCTCCAGAACTCCCTTCCAGCCTCCTGTGGTTCTGTGATGGTTCATTTAGCCATCAGTAGTTTTTATTTGTGTTCCATCCATACAGCGTGTTAATGTTACTCTTTTAACTTTTTAATGCCTGTTGGCGAAAGCAGTGGTTACCCTGAACACTTCACCTCAGTATAGTTTCTCTACCACATTTCTCTCTTTTAAAAAGTAATATTGTTTATAGATATATAGGTATATAAATGCGTATGCATGTGTGCATGTGCACTGCACTGATTTTTATTGTTAATAGTGTAGAGAAATGCCAGCACCTGAAGAATCTGCCTCTACTGCTTGAATTTTGAAAATAGCAATATAAATAATAAAATTTACATTGTGGCACCTGTAAGGAATAGCCTTTGAATAGCCTTAGTAATTTCTCATCTTCCTTAACCTATCCCATTTTGTATAAAAATATGATAACAGTTTTGGTTCACAGCTCTTAGATTAAATAGATAGTTTAGATTATGTTGATGCTTTTGGCAGCACCTTTGACACTCGACTCCCTCACCACTCATGTTATTAGTCTCAGAATATACTTAGACAGGTGTTGTGAGAGTGGCCAACTTGGTATGCCCACACCTCTTTTTACCAAGAACATGGTGGTTGAGGCTGCACTGCAGTGCTCACATACATACCATGGCTGAGTGTGCTGCATAGCCATGTCTCTGCCAAAGCACCGTAGCATAAAATCTGAAGACCATCCTGCCAGTTACCGGCCAACTATGCTGCCTCATCACAAACTTCTGCCAGGTGAGATGACACATCCACAAAGGAATCTTATGCTCGGCTCACTGGGGACAGATTACATGCCTGGTCAGCACAGGAAAGGAGCCAGTCCGCCTCAGACCCATAGCGATGAGCATGTAGCTGCTTGAGCCTACTGGCATAGCCAAGAAAGTTTCGGGAAGAGCAGGCCTAGTGCGACCCACATACAGATAAAGTCTCTCTGCCCATTTTGGCATCACCTGTGCATCACAGGGATCACACTAGCTGTGTTCCTGCTGTTAGCCTTATCAGGAACAGTCCTGACAGAACAGCGCTATTGGAGGAGGGTGTCTGTTTTCTGATAGATACTCTCTGACTCCTGTGCGGAGATATCTGCAAAGAGACAATGCAGTAATGGTCCAGCCAAGCTCTGGCATGCAAGGGAGAGTGAAATGCTAATACCTGTGGCTCCAACAAATGCAGAGCTCTGTGCAGGAAATCATCTTAGGAAAAAGTCTCACAGCCAAACACTTTGGGCAGTCTACCACCCAGATCCTCTCAGGCATTCTTTGAGTCAACATGTCAAATCTAGCAGCTACAAAAGCTAAAAGGGCTGTATCAACTACTAAAAGGTTAGCAGGTTGATCTGTTCCTGCACTTTCTCTGCCCCTCCATTGCCCCTCTCCAGCACATACCTTAAGTAGGCAGTCAGGACACCTCTTGCAGTCAGTGTTAATCCTTCTTCCCCGCCAACACACTCAAACTCGTATGTCCCAGGACCTATAGACTCACCAGTCCTGGATTGCTACACTGAACAGAGTCTGGGTCGTGCCTCACCAGTTAAATGCTTCCAGGAGCAGGTGGGAACAAAGTCCTGAGAAGTTTCTCTGGCCAGCAGGATTACAATGGCTCTGTGCCTTCTGTCTGGAATCAGCTGAATTTGAAGTCTAGGGATGACTAAATGGATTGTTCTTGTATTTCTCACAAATGCATATCTGAAAAAAGGCCTTTGCAGGCCAAAACCAGTGCTCTGCCTGCTCTGTCTTGAGATATCCCATGAACTCAGGTGCTAGAAGTATGTACTGGTCTAGGATGAAAGCCAAACACAGACCTAAAAGTCCTGAGGAAGACTCGTGCATATTGTTCTTCATCTGAGCTCTGCATTTCCTTGTGTTGTTCTGTTCACCTGTGTTGCCAAGTGCTTAGGCAGGCAGCCGTCAGTCTTGATTTAGAGGATAACCTGAAAGCACCTGTGTTCCCAAGTGCTAGAAAGTTTTGTTGACCAGGCCTCGAGGCTTTCTCCAAGAGAGATATGAGGCAGATGTGCCTTGGGCCTGGAGTCTTGGAAACGAAAGCCAGCTTGCTCCATGCTGGCATTTCAGCCTGTGTGAGAAGATGGTGAACTTGTAGCAGCAGTCATTCAACCTCTTTGTCCTGAATGGAACAGGCACAAGACATGCCATGCAGGGAGAAGGTTAGTAGCCCAAAGGTCTGGCGTAGGTCTGTCCAGTTCAATTTTTACCTTAGGACACTGGTAGATGATGACAAGAGCTAAATAAGGCTGATGATAAAAAAAAACCTCTGCTGTAGAGTCCTGAAGTGTGCAGATAAGTGAATCCGGCATGAGCGCTAGAGTAGCCTTGCTGGTACACCAGAGGGCTTGTGAACAGCCATTATTCCCAAGGGTGATATACAGTCTGGATGCAACTGGAATGGTCTGGACATGCTCATAGGGCTTCTTGTGTGCACAGGTACTGGGTGCTGCAGCATAGGTGCCATCCAGAACAACACAACAGAGTTGTAAAAACTAAAGTAGTAGTACTAAAACTAAAACTTTTTTTTTATTTAAAAATGACCAATCTCTGAAAATAGCATTTTTGAATAATACAGAGAAGTACCGTTCAACACATTTTGGGCTAAGAGAACCACTAAGTTCTGTGATCCATCAGTTAGTTCTGTTCTGAATAGACATCAAAACATGTTAACAGGCAGATGAAGGGCAAAAACTTCTTTATCTCATGACAGATACCTCCCCTACCAGATGTACATCATTCCTTACAGATCAGCTATCCAAGTGACATAACAATAGTGGCAAAACCTTGCATAACTTAAAACAGTATTGTGCAGATCTTAGGAAACAGTATATTCCTAGGAGGTTCTTTGGTGATTATACAAGTCCCTTTAATTTTTGGTTTGATGCTTATAAAGACAGTGTATGGTGCACAAAAGTCTTTACATTTTCCACAATTGCATATGATACCTTCATAAGTTAGGTGAATGATGTAAATGCTTCAGTGTGTCCACTGTAAAACTCCATTCTGTCATTCTGTTGCCACCTACTGGGAGACTTGGTAATATCTCATTTCAATTATTTCTAAAATACACCAAATTCTACTATTTTAGTATCCACACAGAACTCTGATATATTAATAAAAGAATGGCTTTCAAACATTATGCCTGAAAGAGAACTGTGCTGCCTTTTTTTTTAATGATGTTTCAATAAAGAAAAATGCAGTACATTTTGGGATACAGTTTCAGAAGAGTTACTTCCTTTTTGGTTAGAATTTTCAGGCACAAGATGTGTGTATATATATGTAAAAATTTGTGGAAGTAGATCTGGACTTGCAGAATTACCTACCCTAATATACCCTGTTCAGAACTATGGTTTATAATATAGAGACCAGCCATTCACTTTGTAGATAAAAAGTAGGGCAAACTACATCTTGCATCTGTCAGTTGAGTTTCTGGATGTGTCTGCTTTATTATGACCTTTTAGGAGACCTAATACAAACTGAGCTACCAGAAAGGGGGCAGCAGCCTGCACCAGTTAGGGGGAAAAATAGGGCATTTCTGTAGCACTGCTGGAATTTGTATTTGATGAGCATATGCTTCAAGGAAAACATTGATTTTCTTAAAGAAATTTACTTATGAAAGATCAATAATATATCCAGTGTTAAAAAACTATAGTGCTATATGTTAAAGAGGTTTGGTCCATTCTCTGTTCCCTCCAGGATGTCTTCTTATCTATGTTAAGGGAAACCTTCCAGATAACTCTGACCTGGCAAGTCAGACACACTTGGTAAGGTCAGAACTACTGGTTAAGTGTCTTGCTCCAGGCATTGTTCAGGCACTGGGGCTGCTCGACAGGTACCCACAAACAGGCCCTATTGCATGATTTGCTTTCCCTTATATTACCATTTTCATGCTTCCCCCTTCCCAGATAAACACATACCTGACCTTTTTCCCCCACTGACACCGTTTTTCTGATTTTACGCTCTTACATTGTAATTTCAGCTTTAGTTAGTGACTCCAGTAATCCAGCACCCCCTTCACTTTCTGTTGACATCTTTCACCCAAGGGGAGTCCCCAAAACTCCCCTTTCGCTGTATGTAATGTCTGGTAGTTTCTCCTGCCATTAACTTACTAGTTTAGACCCAGGCTGGGGTTGGTCAGTCACTCTTCCCCTTCCATTGTCTGCAACGTGCAGCAGTTTCTCATGTTATCCCATCAGTCTAACCTCAGGCCAGGACTGGCCACCTGCATGCATACCTTAACGATATACAGTTCTAAAATCATGAAAGAACGGGAATATACAAAAATATTAATTACCAACACTAAGTTGTGAAGTCATAGCTGGCATTTTTAGACATCCCACCTTTAACTATGACACACATTCTTTGTCATGGCTCTGATTTACTGTGGTTTCAGAAAGTTTGATGGAACTTGTAATGCTTCTGTCCTGCATTCCACAAGCTGGTTATTTTAAAGCCTTTATTTCTGCCAGAGAAGTTATCCATTTAGTAGTGACAACAGGGCTGTCCACATACTTGTACTTCCAGACCAGTCCTGTTTTGACTGTTACACCGTTGCTGCTTAAGCATAGCATGTTCTAAACTCCCACTGAAGTTAAGAGTACCCGAATTGTGCCCCTGCTCATGGCACCTGGCAAAATCACCCCTTCTAATCACCCCACACTGCAGATCCTATAGAAGCAATGGTGCTAAGACTAGCTGTAAGTTCTTGGTACCAACAGTGCCAAGAACTTTATTTCTCCTTTGTCCAAGGCGCTGTTAAAAGGGAAACGAATGCTTAGGGCTTCCTTGCATCTTTTTCCAGCTGCAATTGTGCAGGCTACAGATTTCCTTGGCATTTGTACCCTCCTGACAGAGGTCACTGCTCTCATATCTGCAGACTACAGCTCTGTTACCTGCCACACTGCACATCACAGAGAAGTGAAGACCCAGAAAAGAAAGAGGGTTTCAAGGAGGGTGCTAATGTAGAGATTAGACAGGCAGGAGACTTCTTAGCAGAACCTAATGAGGAATAAAGGAATAATGGTTGGGGGTGGGGGTGAGGAGAACACAAGAAATGATGAGACCCAGGGAAAAACATAAAGAAGGAGAGACAGATTTGGTAAGATCAGGCAAAATGGAAGGAGACAAGTATATGAGGGAATTGAAAGCGTCAAAGGAATAACATTTTCTTAAGAAAGCTTCAGTAGGACATCTTCCAGAAATGTTTGAAGGAGCAGAGATACTTAAAACTGAGAGTTCTCACTGCATCTTAAAGCCTTACTAACATTATGTTTTGAATTAGTATGAAATAAAGATTGAGCACTGCATGTAATGTCTCTTCATTTAGTGTTTGTAGCACAATTGCGTGTGACATTTTGAAGCAGAAGAGTTTCTCAAATCATGAGATTGCAGCTACATGGCTGTATCTTTGTGTTGAATAAATGACAGTATATAAAACAGATGGACCTTTAGCTCCAGAAGTAACTTGTTTTCAGGATATACTGGCAAAAAAAAAAAGAAGCCTGTTGCCCTCTGAGGAATAGTGGCTAATGATTAGCTGGTCATACATCCTGCTGCTGATTGTTTTGTGATCTCATAATGGAGATGGAATTTTTGAAACTCAGAATGGTTACACTCTACTGACATGCTCTACGGACCTGGCGTGTGTGAAACAAGCAAAAATGCAGCCACATGAAATAAAGAGACATAGAGGCAATCTTATGCACAGAAGAGGGCAAAGTGAATTTTAAGATTCCCCCCCATCATTTTCATCTTCAAATGAGTCATTTGCCACTTCCTCATAATCCTTCTCCAGGGCAGATAAGTCTTCCCGGGCCTCTGCAAATTCTCCTTCCTCCATGCCTTCCCCCACATACCAGTGCACAAAGGCTCTCTTGGCGTACATCAGGTCAAACTTGTGGTCGAGCCTTGCCCAGGCCTCTGCGATGGCTGTGGTGTTGCTCAGCATGCAGACTGCTCGCTGAACCTGGGCCAGGTCTCCCCCAGGAATAATTGTGGGAGGCTGGTAGTTAATCCCAACCTGCAAATAACAATTGAAAGGTGGTGGAATAAAGAGAGTTATGAAAAAAAGGACTAAAAGACACAATAAACAGGGTGAGAAAGTTGTAAAACCATTGGTGGCTGGGAAAGAAAAGAGGTGGGGAAAAACCTCAAATCACATCAGCAAAATCCCTCTTAAGGCTAATGACATTCAAGCTGTTCTTTTGAGCATAAGTCAATTCCTGTCCTTTACTGAGAAAAAAAGAGTGCAACCAGAACTGGATTCTAAATGAAGGGAAGCTTATAAAAATGTAGCAGTACGTTTGGCAAAATTGGGTACAGTGAAGAAAATAGTCTTCACAGAGGTATAGAGATGTAGTAATGTTTCACTTGCCAACAGTGTAGTACTGCTTTTTTTTTTTTTTTAGTCTGATGAAGGACAGTCTGAACAGCGTCTTTAGAATATAAGCCTTACTTTGATCTTTCCTCTGGAATGTAATTTATTTAAATATAAATCATTAGAGGGTTGACATTCTCCATTTACTAAATATACAGGACATAGAGTACAGTACTTCTTTATGATATATGTACCTATTTATTTAGCTATTTCAGAGTCTGTGTCAATAGGATGTCCGAGGGTACATTTTATATGCACACGTATTCCTAACGTTTGTTTTTCTCACAAGTGGAAAGCATGCAAGACGTAAAGTTTTAAATACAAGTTTTCAGCTAGACTGAACTTGCCCTTTAGACGTTACAGAGAAGCACGCTCACCTTGAAGCCTGTTGGACACCAGTCCACAAACTGGATAGCTCTCTTGGTCTTGATGGCAGCAATTGCTACGTTGACGTCTTTGGGAACTACGTCACCACGATACAGCATGCAGCAGGCCATGTACTTGCCATGTCGCGGGTCACACTTCACCATCTGGTTGTTGGGCTCAAAGCAGGAGCTGGTGATTTCTGCCACCGAGAGCTGCTCATGATACGCTCTCTCGGAAGAGATGATGGGGGCGTAGGTCACTAAGGGGAAGTGGATGCGCGGGTAGGGTACCAGGTTTGTCTGGAACTCGGTCAGGTCCACGTTGAGGGCACCATCGAAGCGCAGCGAGGCGGTGATGGAGGAGACAATCTGGCTGATGAGGCGGGTGGGGGTAGGGTAAGTCGGGCGCTCAATGTCCAAGTTTTGGCGGCAAATGTCATAGATAGCCTCGTTATCGACCATGAAGGCGCAGTCCGAGTGCTCGAGGGTGGTGTGCGTGGTCAGGATGGAATTGTAGGGCTCCACCACAGCGGTGGAGACCTGGGGAGCAGGGTAGATGGCAAACTCTAACTTGGACTTCTTTCCATAGTCCAGGGAGAGGCGTTCCATCAGTAAGGAGGTAAAGCCAGAGCCAGTGCCCCCACCAAAGCTGTGGAAAATCAGGAATCCCTGTAGCCCTGAGCAGGCATCAGCCTGAAAAACAAAAGCAAAAGTGAAAGAATAAGTGAATATATCTCTGAATTCCACCTTGAAATAGAAACAGCAACACCCCCACTCAGTACACAGCAGAGGGATTAGCAGTTTTCCCAGAACATTCTCACAGTCTGTGTTTTCCCTATAAATCTCAGGCTACTCCCTAGAGTGATACTAGATATCTCTTACAATAATGCTACAGCAATATTTGAGGTTTTCTGTGTAAGTCTTCCAGTCTTAAGACTGTATTTCCCTGTTCTGAGCCAATAACAATAGTAAAAGCAAAACAAGAGTCACTACCAAAAAATGTACATGCTGTTTTATTTCCCATACTATCCGCCTAAAGTCTTGCTTCCAATGTAGTAGTACATACCAGTTTGCGTATACGATCTAACGCCATGTCAATTTTGTCTTTTCCAATGGAGTAGTGGCCACGTGCATAGTTATTCGCTGCATCTTCCTTTCCAGTGATCAGCTGTTCTGGATGGAAAAGCTGCCGGTAGGTGCCAGTTCGTACCTCATCTGAACAAAAGAAAAGAAGCATAAGCTTGGAAGCGATAACTCACCAAGGCTGGTAATGTTAGCAAATCCAGTTGCTAAAGCTGAGCATTCTGTGTTGGCAGACAAAAGGCATGGCAGATCTGAGTGATGAGAAGCTAAGCACAAAGCTAAGGAATATAATCTGAGACCTTCTCAGTTCTGAAAAAAATAAGCAGCTGCTGCTCTGAGATGCATCTCTTAACGTTGCTCTGTTATACAGATGAGTTCATTTTTCAAATGATGGTTATGCCGTGCTGTGGAAAAACTTCACCTCTTTATACTGATCAGATGAAATTCATCAGAACCTTCAGGAGAATGACTGGAAGAGATTTGCAAGAGTAAAATGGTGGTTTCCCCCAAAAAATCTTTCAGGACACCCCCGTTATCTGCTTCTTCATGGTCCTGTCTCAGATCCGAACGGTAGGAAAGCATTTTCCATCAGTTATCAAAGGAAAACCACCACAAAAAATACCAGAAGGTAAAGATTCTCATGAAGAAAGGTAAAT